AGCATGGCCAAGAACTTGAAAATTCAGAAACCTACTGCAGGCACTTTTTTTCAAACCGCTTTAACCTCTGCTCCTTTTTTCTTTCCCCCTAACCTAAGAAATGTTACTTCATTTCTTAATGTTTGCTAGCTTTTGTAAGTATTTTCTTTGTGGAATCATCTACTATGTCCATGTATAACATGGTTTTTGTTCTTCTGACACGCCTTCCTTACTACACATAACTTCCATGTAAATGCTTCTGTTTTGCTATAAATAGTAGCGTTTCATCTTCCTTATGGCTGAAGGATAGTCCATTGTACAGCTATACCCACCTTCTTAATTCAATCCCCCAACACTAGAGTGATGCATGATGTTGAAATCAAGCTCTAGCCCGGAAGGAAGCCCTGCTCCTTTCCTGCCCTGCACGTGGACAAAGTGGTCACAGCTTCAGGTTTTAGTGCGGAATGAAAGATGCACTCAGTTCAAACCCTGGTTGCCCCCACCCCCCATCAGCCAGATGGCCACGGGAAATGCTGCTTAGCCTCTGTGAGTTCTACAGCGATTCCACTCTGTGAATGGTGGTTGGGATCTATGTGCATACAGAAGGCTGTGACTTTCTGCTCTACTGTGTGTGGGAATATAAGAGGCCATGCTCTGTGCCACCTCACAGTTTTCCAACCTAACTTGGGGCTAGGGGATAATATCCCCTCCATCTGCCCACAGATTTTGATGGCCCCCAAAAACTAGCCCCGTGGGAAAGTGGAGAGAGCCAGGCCAGCAGCCCCCAGTGACTGGCTGCAGAGCCCAGCACCCGTCCTCCTCCTCCATGAATGAACAGTGGACTCGCTGCAAGGCTCCTCTGTGTGCTGCCCTCCATGCCCTTCGCAGGGTCCAGGCCATGCCACATACCCGATAAATAAATGCTTGTTGAAAGCACAAATGAATGAGAGGAAAGGAGGATGGAACCAAGGGCAGAAAGATCAAGCAGCTTCCGCCTCCTCCTCTGTGGGTCCATTCAGAGTGAGTACTCAAGCCTCCCCAAGCCTCATGTATGAATATTCATGGCACAGGGAGGCAGTCAATCTCAGAGTCACAGAACTGAGCTGTTTGGGGTGGAGTGGGGGGAGGGAGGTGTCACCAATAAGCCAGCAGCACCACCTGCTGCTATTGGGCGGAAGATGGCCTCTGTCCTGGGCCAGGCAGCAGGAGGGTGGGCAGAGAGAGTGTGGAGCGGGCCAAGGCCTTCTGAATCACCAGACTGTGTGCCCTCCTCATACCAGGTGGCTGCTTTGTGCGTCTGGAACAGAGAAGGAAGTGCCCTGCTGACCTGGCAGGATCCAATTTCCCTCCTCTCAGTCCTCAGCATTTTCTCCCAAGGCCACTTGGCCAAGATGCCCCCAGTACTGCTTGGAAATAACTGGTAATGGCAGGGCTCACTAGAGAAGTGGCTTGCCAAAGCATTTCTTTCATCTAGAGGGTGCAACTAACAGTGCTTGGGAAGTGACACTCCAACCTCTCTAATTTATGAACCTTTTTATTTTTTGGATTCAGGGGTGGCCCTGAAAACATGCACCAGAGGAAATGACCAGAGGCTAACTGGTAAATCAGATGCCACGTCTTACTCTGGAGCTGTGTCTGGAAAATGTAAGCAAAGGGACTGTTACGGCACTCCAGGGACTTCAAAAGCTGGGGTCACGCCTCTCCCACAGAGCAGGTGAGAGTGCTAGAATGCAGAACCACCTGTGGACAAGCAGGCCGGGGGCAGTGGCAGAACCTTATACCTTCATTGCAGTCAAGCTGTTTACCGTTTCTAAGGGTGCCTAGAATGCACACAGTAGAGGGCAACTGTAAACCTCTAATACACTTAGAAACTTGCATATACGATAGGATCTGGGCTCTGTAAAGCACAAATGCCAGGGGCGGGAAGTGAAACAGGAAGCAGCAGATAAAGCTAACATTTTAACACTGGTTATATCTTGATGCTAGAATTTCAGGTGACTCTTCCAAGGCCTGTATTAGCCACAGAAGGGCTTTTTAACAGTACAGGATGCTGTGATAGTTCCAGGCCAAGGGTCACGAAGCACTGAGCCTGCCCTACCTTGCTGTGTGGGTCCAGAGGAACAAACTTCTCTGGCTGATGGCCTGTTTCTCCCTGACTCACTGGAAAAAATGTCAAATGCATCAGAACCTAGAAGGGCCTGGGTTGGGCCAATGACAAGAGAAAGCAAACTAACAGTCCTTGAACCACATGTGGCCACTGGCAGAAAGAATCTGATTAACCTCAACCATGTTCTTAATTTAAAAATTAACAGCAAGGTGTTCACTCTCACCACTGCAATAAGGCAAGAGAACGACATTCGAGGAATCCAAATAGGGAAAGAAGTGGTGAAACTGTTATTATTTACAAGTGATTATAATATACATAGAGAACCCTAAAAACTCTACAGAAAACAATAAAAACTCTAAGTAAAACACCAGTTCAGTAAAGTAATAGGATACAAAATCCAAATTACAAATTAGTAATTTTTAAAATTCAGTTTTAAACTGGATTCAGAACAGCCAAAAAGTAGAAACCACTCAAAGAGTTTATCAACTATTTAATGGTTAAGCAAAATGTGGTATAGCCACAAAGTGAAAAATTAGTCATATAAAGGAGCATAAGTACAGAAAAACGCTAATCACTTGGATGAACTGAAAACAAGATGCTGAGTGAAAGAAGCCAGACATGAAGACCACATGTCACCAACTGCATGCCTGTGGAATACCCAGAAGAGACAAACTGACGGTCATGGGGGAGGAGAGAGAAACAGCAGGGAGGAACTGCTCAATGGGCTTTTTTTCTGGGGTGGAAACATCCTGGAATTAACAGATGCACAGTATTGTGAATGAGTAAGAGCCACCAAAATGTCCACTTTAAAATGGTGACGGTGGTGAATTTTATCTTGATTTGTAAAAAAACAAAACTGAAGAGCAGAGCTAGGTGGTGGCACTCACAGGCACTATTCAGCTGCCTCTCGCCAGCAGGGTCCCCACCTCTGGACAGTCCTGGGTGAAGTTGCCTACAGGTGTGTGAGAACCCCAAATGCTGGGGATGGTCCTCCCTACCTGCCAGGAGACACCCAGGCTGGGTCCCTCCTGGCTCAACAGAAACATCTGGCTCTGAGACAGAGCAGGCCCACCAGCTGAGGAAGGCAGGCAAACCAGTCCATTTCAAGTATGTGTAGTTTATCTCTCCTGACTATGTTCACCTCTGGTAAGTCGAAGAGCTTTAAAAAAAGGACATGAATTAAAAGGTTTCTCTCTCTCCACCACCCCCAGACTCCAAGCCCCTTCCTAGAACAATCCACTGACTCTGCATAACTTAAACTTACTAAACTCACCTGCATCCAGCAAGACTGCATCCTTTCCCAGACACTGAGAAGCTCTCTCATTAACAACCCATTATATAATTCTAAAAGGGAATGACAGCCTTTCCCAAAAAACACCCTATCCGTAACTTAAAGTGGCCATCACTTCGTAGAAGAACAGCTTTTCAGAACTGAGTATAAGGTCAAAGGCGCTTTCTGCAAGAGCCCCACACGGGCATTTCCAGCAGACCTGCCCTGGCTATCCCCACACATGGTCAGCAAGACATTACACCACAGGCTCCCTGGGGCACAAGAGATGACACACATGTCAGGGACCACGTGAACCAGCCTCCCTGGCAGCCTTAGTGCTGGCCTTTGATGGCTGAAAGCTGTGAACCATCTGGTTTGGGCTTTGCCCAAAAGCCCACATGGTTCTTGCCTAAGGGATCATGGGTCTCCACATATGAAGGCAAAAGCATTGCCCAAGGACTGCCCTCTGGACATGTCCAAGCACTTGGCAAGCACCAGGCCCTGAGCAACCAGCACTCGCACACACTCCTCTCTCACTGACTCTGCTCCCTGCTGCAGTTCCTACACCTGTTTGTACCATGCCACTGCATGCCCTCATGCCACCCATAAGCTGAGCCTTCTGCTGGAAATCCTCTTGCCTCTTTGTGGCCCGGTGGCCTCATGCTCTTCCTTAGATTCCTCTAAGATGTTTGACTTCCTCCCGCAGAATTTCTGATCTAATCTTTGCCCCAGCATGCTCTCAAAGAACCTCCATGGAGACCCAGGAAAAAAAAAAAAAACAGTACTATTTTGCTGGTGTTCCTGTCTTGCCCACACCTGCCCAGACCCTAAGGGCAGGACCATTACCTGTCCATGTCTGGGTCTCTAGGCATGGCAGGACAGAGCCTAACATTTGGTATGCTTCAGCAAACATCCAGAGACACAGCTAAATACAAAACCTGCCTCCAGTCTGGGGAAACAGCCACAAAATATACAATTCAATGTTTTATACAGAAAGTGCACAGATCAGCCATGGCAGCAGGGTTCAGAGCACCTAGAAAGGCCTCTCAGGGTGGCAGGCTAGCTAGGAAGCTAAACGAGCCTGCAGACCAAGGCCAGTGTCCAGCGACTAGGAAACTTATGTGGCCAAGATGTCCAGCCAGATGAAACCAACTGTGCCATCTGAAACATGTTTCAAATCTCCCATCACAAGTTCTCTTACATTTTACATTAAACAGAACTTTAGGCATTTAGTCTATTGAGCTGATTCGTTATTGATTTAAATAACAGGAATTACAGCAATATCCCCTTCTCATTAGCAGTTCTGTTTAGCACATGAGCACATCCAGCTAATTATAAAACTTGGTGTAGATGGTTCAAGCTATGTATTACAGTTTCTTAACCGGGGGCACTGGGTGTAATTTGACACTAAGTTGACATGCGTCCCAGAGAAGGGATAAGTCATTTTTTAGACATGTGGGAAACAGAGGGGAAGTCAGTTTTCCATTTAGCAGAGCAGAGAACCTTTTAAAACTGAGAGATAGAGCTATGTATGCCACCAGACTTACTCCCAGCTTTGCCAGGTGAGAGAGCAAGAAGTTTTGTCCTGCTGCCCCTCACCCATTCAGCAGGCAGGTATGAAAGATAAACAAGAGAGGTCTTTACCAAATGATGGCCAGGAGTCCGCAGCACTGGTCGGGGCAGCCGGCCCACCCCAAGGGTTGGTCTGGTTAGCTGAGGCTGACGAGCCCCAGGGCTCTGCTTTCTGGGCAGCGGGGCCTGAGTTGGGGAGGGCATCCATTAAATCCAACAGGGTGGTCTGCTGTGGGTGGGATAAGTGCTTTTGAGACAAAGAGAAGGGGACAGGATTTACTTGCTACAGTTTAAGCAAATATCCATACATTAGTCATAACTACTACCATACTCTGTGACTGGAGACCCTCCAGGAAGGGCCAAGATGAACGTGGAAGTTGAGCTGCCCCATGATCTGCCCAGTCCCCATCATCTCTTCCCGGCACAGCCCAGGCTCCAGTCACACCAGCCCACTTACTGTGCACCAGTAACAGTGATCCACCCACTTTCAAATCGTCCTCAGGACCCTGCAGGACTATGCAGCCTCCCTCCAGAGACTGCCCCTCCCCACTCACTTTGCCAACTTTACCCACCACCCCCAGCGGCCAGCCACCATACTGGGCCCTCTCTCCTGGGGTCTGTACCCTCTCCTGCTACTACGGCTACACAGCTGCCATCAGGGAGCCGGCAGCACTGCAATGTGGGAGGCTGCTGGAACGGGCACGCTGGCCCGGTGGGAGGGGTCTGCTACCCGAGTGGACAATGAGCATATGAGCAGCAGAGCCATGTCCTGGTCAGCTTCGGGTCCCAGGCAGGGCACCTCACACAGAGCAATGATGGTGACCGTGATGAAGACCAGCCTGGTGCAGGCTTACCCTGTTGTCAGGAATTGTTCCAGAGCACTCGACAATTATGGACAGTCTCACAGCCCCATGAGAAGGCTTTGTTACCACGTTCCTTTTACAGGGAAGGAACTGAGGCACTGCCCAATGCGGGGTGATGAGCCAGGCAACTGCACCCCTCACCAGGGCCCACTGCTCCCACGTGGTCTCAGAGAGGCTACTCTCAGCAGAGTCTGATGTGTTTTCAGTTACATCCTCACTTCACTCTGCTCATCACAGGCCAAGGATTATTTGTTAAGAGAGAAAACAGCAGAAGTCACAGTGACGCTGTGGGCTAGGTGTGGGTAGTTTCAGTAACTGCAGGCCAGTCTCAAGCGTTGCCTTCCCAGGGACTCTTACCTCTTTCTTTTTGGGCACCTTCACTGTGTCTCTTCGGCTCTCTTCTAGAGCCATCTGCAGTCTGAGGTCATCACCCCTCCTGAGGCGTTCTTCCTGTGGGGGACAATGGACCTTGATGCTGATGTTAATTGTAATAACATCAAGGCATAGAACAAAGCAACAGGGGCCAGCAGGAAGTGCAAAATTGTACTATGTATTATTCCAAAGGAGAGTCTGAAGGCAACTTGTGAGCAGTTACTCTCCTGGCCCCTAATGTGATGCCTCCCCCCACCAGCTTGTGTGGCCTCCCTGGTTTTGGAGTCTCAGGCAGGAGGCACAGGCACCCCCAAATTGGAAAAACACAATACTTATTTGATGACGTTTTAATGAAAATGGCTCCACCATTATTTGTAACTATAGCTGCAGTGTGCCTCCTCTTAAAAATTCAACAATCCAGAAAGGAATTAGAAAAGGGATGAAAATCACTTATTCCCGCTCCCACTGTGTATGCTTCTGGAAAATGACTAGAGAGTTACTTCTATGATTTCTAACATAAATGATTCATTATATTTAACTTATATTTATGTAAGGCAAAGTCATGATATGCAAAAGAATAGGTCATCCTTGCTTTTAAATAATATAATGGTTAATCATAAATGTACACATTATGTTTTCTTATCAGTAATAAATCACAGAGATGACTTTTTTTTAACGATTTTTATTTATGTATGCATACAAGAACTAGGGTGCGGGCCAAAGGTGCAGGGGGGTGAGAGGATTCAACATATACAGAATGAGGAGCAGAACAGGCAATCTACTGAAACACACTGCTGAGGGGGTCTGCTGTGTCATGTGGGTCACCTCCCTGGCGGGGCATCAAACTCAGGCCAGGGTAGCTGGCGACAGCTTTAATAGCACTGAGATTTTAACCCCTGCACCACCAGGGGAGGCCTCCAACAGAGATGATTTATTAACCAAAATGGGCTCCAGCCATCAGTCTATCCCCGCATTCTTGCACCTTCTCTCCAGGCTCTCAGTGACAGCGCCAGGGAAGCTTAATGGCTGTGCACTTCCTGCTGCAGCTCAGGGCCATAACGGAGGTGGCCCCTTACTGCTAAGCTTTAGGGTATTTCCACTTACAGCGAGACAAAGCATGCTGCATCAAACAATTCTGTACTTCCATCTAACTACTCCTAATCTTTGTCTTTCTACACTATTTCTAAGTGAAAGGGAGGATTATGCTGCACGACTTCAACTACCTTTTTAAACCAAAGATCAGCAGAGACAGACCTGAATACTGAAGCCAAATGGTTGGCAACTTTGAAAGGTTGTGGCAATCACTCCTTTCCCCCTTCTCCATTTTGCTAGAGAATGCATGCAAACTAGAAAGAAAATGGGAGCTGAAAAAAAATCAAACACTTAAAACTCCCACATCTCGTTCATCTAACTATAAGCACTCCACTATCTTTTCTCGTCAGCCCGCCTAGACCTTTGGCCTTCTTTGACAGAAGTGCTCTCTTCCGAGTGCGGCTCCTCCCAGGTGCCCTGGATCCACCTCGCAGCCCGCCTTTCAGGAGACCAGGCCTGATCCTGCACCCGCACAACCCGGTGTCAGGCAGCTGGAACACTGAAATCATCAGAGAAGGGCCCACAGCTCAAGGTCATGTGTACGCAAGTGTTTCTGAAGATACTTTTGACTGACTCACCCCTCGGCTGTGAGTTCTCTCAAAGCAGTCCTGGATCTAACTGCACAGGACACCTCCCTGACCGGGCAGGAGTAACAAGAACATGCTGTGCCAACATGAAGTCACATTTTGGAAAGCACACTGACACGTGCAGGACAGGCCTGCCGGTGCCCGCCCCCTGTGACCCGCCCCACCAGCCCCGCCCCACGAATAACAGTCACTGCAGGGCAGGTGCCCGGACACTGACCTGCTCGGCCACTTCTCTGCTCATGGCCAGTGCCAGCTGCAGCTGCAGCTCCTCTTCACCACTAGTCTGGGGCCGGGCCTGCTCCAGCTCAGAGGACACCCTTGGGGAAGTGGCTGTGGGAAAAGGCAAAGTGACCATATATAAAGGGCAGGTTTGTGCTCAGAAGTTACTTGGTCAAGTTATATCCCACCCCACCTCACTCCACAAGGCTTGGCAACAGCCCAACAAGTGGGCACTGTACAGGAAAGGTCAACAAATATGTCAAGATTAAAATCAAGCAACACCAAATGTGATTTCACGACTATATAAGCCATGCAACACCAATATAAAAGATACCTGCAGGTGCAGGCCCGGGGTCAGACTTCCCACGCTAGTGGCAGAGCTGCACTGCCTCAGAGAAAGGAGCCAGTAGTTTTAAAGATAGTTTTAAAGTTATTGAAAAGCAGGATGAAAAAGCACCCTCAATCAGGAGCCAAACTCCCATAGAACAAGAACTCCCCCAACATTTAAGAATTTCACTCTGCATCTTGTCACATGAAGGATCATGGAAAATGAACCCTAACATTTCTGCACTGGCAACAGCCTAGCAAGCGGGCACTGTAGAGCAAAGATCTACAAATATTTCTGGCTTTGAAGTAAAGCTGTACATTGACTTGGAAAAAGCACATACACCATCGTTTTTTTTTTGTTGTTGTTGTTGTTGTTGTTGTTTTTCCTTCTAAACAGTTACACACTTATAAGGAGCTCCTGGAATGACAGTTTTTACTGAAAGGATGCAATGAGACTTCCTGACAGAAGTAACAAATCCCCAGGAAAGATGTCTTCAGCCTGTCAACCAGGCTGCACATCCGGTAAAAGACTAACATGGACATCCAGATGTTTTGTGTATCAAGGGGTCCACAATTGACCTCAAGCTCTGGGAACATGTGCCCAAGTGTGTGCCCACCGTTGCCCCCAGCAGTGACAAGGTTCATAGCTTCTCTGAAACTTTCAGATCAAGTCCCACAATCTGAGGTTAGGAACCAATGCCTTAGAAGATTCCATGCTCTGTCCTTCCTCTGTGTCTGTGAGTGCTGGTTTCCTCAGCCTACCTAAGAGCTCCCCAATTCTCTGGGCTCACTCCCCCTTAGGGTCATCCAGCACTGTCCTCTGCGGAGCTGGATCAGCACTCTCCCTCCCTTGCCTTAAGCACTCTCCCCCATCCCATTCTGTAGTTTAGTAGGTTATGCCAGAAAAGTATGGCGCTGGGGAGGACCCAGTCTATCTTCTCATCCTTATAACCACCCCCAAGCCTGGCAGAACAGTAAATACCAGCTGGATAGCCAGATGTATGCATGCATGCACAGACAGATGGACGGTCAGATGAAGAATCTGCTTTCATGACCAATGGTTGATTACTTGAAAATGCTCTGATTGTGGATTAGTTTACTTCTTTCTTTCATTAGGTTCATTCTAGCAAAACTAACCTTCAGGACTCACTCACCCAAATGCTGCTTCTTCCCAAATCTCCAGCTTAAACTTGATTCTTAAGGTCTTTGGTAGGAAGTCAAAAGATGAGGGAAGATTTCTGACAGATAAGAATTCTAGATAGCCAAGTTCTAGCTATGGTGAAGAAAACAGGCCCAGGAGGTTAGACACAAGGGTCATGGAGGTAATTCACAGCAGAGCCAGGCGAGGCAGCAAGGAGCTGCTGTGGGCAGAGAGCTGTGGTGGAGCAGGGCTGGTGACAGTAAAGACACTTTTGTCACACAAACATGAGACAGTAAGTTCATTTGGAAGAACTGTACAGCATGAAGCAAAGCCTTGATTTATTGTCAACCAAAAAAATAACCACTCAAAAAACACTGCCTCTTATCTACAATAAGGTGAGCTATATAAGGTGAACGGCGCAAATAAACTATGCTGCAGTTACTTTAAAAAACACATTTTTCTAAATAGAAGTTAAACCCCATTTTAGTGTGTTGTCAGAATTATGTTTTCAAAGCATTTCTCTGGAAGTAAAGCTAACTGATAATGGAATGCCTTAAAGTCCACCTTAATAATTTGATTTCTTGAACAGACCAAAACAGAAGTACATTTCTGTTGGGCTTCTTCCTACACCTCACCTATGCCCATCAGGGTGCTTAGGTGTGGGCTTTCTGTGCCCAAGAAGCAACGATGTTACTATCCAGACTGGTGGGACTGCAGGAAGACAGTTCCTGGGGATGACTGTAAGGACAGTCCTGGGGGACCGTCCTCAACTGAATGAGGCTCTCTCATCCAGATCATAGCTCCTCTTTCCTGAAAAATAATCTCAGGGCCACTCCACAAAACCTTCAGTTAATAACAAATACAGCACATGTGACAGCCTTCATTTACTACCAAGTGGAAACCATGAGTGAATAAAGGAGATCTCACATCCCACCCAAGCCCCAAAATGTGCTCTGAAAAACGAGGCCCATCTTGGCAGGGAAAGCTGTGCTTGGCTGTACTGCCACAAGGACTGATTCAGCTCGGCCAGGGATGAGCGGGACAGCTCTGAACAGGGATCTTCTGGAGAAATGAGGCCTCCCTTGTCCTCAGGGACAGACTGACTTCGAATGCAAATGGAGCTATGTCTACCAAAACTGATACTATTAAAATAATGTACAGTCAGTATGTACGGAAATAACTCACCACATCAATGTGGAAACTGAAGACAAAGGGTGTTCCCCTCAATGCTGTGGTTTTACAAACGGATGTACAGCGCTCAGTTCTGCAGATGTCAGAGCTCAGAGTCACCGGCCCTGAGTATCAGCTGAGCTGCACACAGCGGTCTCAGCTGTGAGGGAGGGTTCTGGCCTCGGTGACAGCATCTCTGCCCCACAAAGGGCCTCTTGTGCCCATGCACATGACAGTGAACACAGATGTGCTTGTGAGGCAGGCCTGAAAGGACGCTTCTAGCCACCTGAGCCTAGCCCCGTCCTGCTTTGAGGTGCTGAAAGTGCACAATTTTCAGTAACCTACGGAAAAAAGCAAGAGCCCAGAGGCTGTCCACTTGCAGGTCAGTCTGCTGCTTTCTCCCCAGCCACCCAACAGAGAAAACTACACTCAGCTTTCGCTTATCACTGAAGCAACAGCGTCTGCACTGTCGCCCTTCTCTCCAACCACTGAGACATCCTTTTGCACATGGTTCTTACAGGGAAGAGCTCAAAACCTTCACTTTCATGACCAAAAGTAATAAACCCAGGTAGACCTCATTGTGATCCTTTTGGGTCTGTTGCATTGAGAAAGCTTGAGGGGAGAGGTTAAACAGGAAGCATATAAATGCCCAAGATTTCCCTCAAAGTGTAGACTGGGAGGAAGCCCAGACTCTGGAAGACATGGTCTCTCCCATTAATCTACTGCATCTGCTCTGGCGACTGTCTTGGCCAAGCCTGGGTGCCTACGGCCTCGGCAGCAGGAAGGTCCCCATATCCCAAATGTTCTCCTGAAAGAATGGCTGAAAGATTTTCTATCAAAGATTGTCAGCTGGCCAATTTCAGGTAATTTTCAAAGAAAAAAGCAAAGCCATCAAGGTAATAGAAAAACAGAAAATTGCTTCTTCTGGTGGGCCACGTTGTACAATTTTCCTAGAAAGTACTTAAAGCTGCATCTGCAATCACATGCGCTGGGTAAAAGGAACAGACACCATGGGACACTGCTTTCTGAGCAAATGGCTCTGGGAGGGGCCAACATGATGTCTGGTAAAGTTCTCCCCAGATGGCCTCACGCAGGGTCAGGGCCACAATGTGCACAGTCCCTGGCTCACGTTGTGCATACAAGGTACATCTGGCTTCTGCTTTCACAGCTGTAGAATGGAGACGTGAGGAAGTACCCTGCCCCGTCACTGCCCTCTCCTCCACCCCATAATCGCCTGAGCTCTGTTAAGCACTTCTACCCTTCACCTAACGCGGCAGAAAGCTGTTGTAGCCCCAGACCTTCATGGGAAGAGAACCGTAGCTCCCGCAAGCTATGGCTTCTGTTAAAAGAGGTATCTCCATGGAAAAAGGGAGGGTCCCCATTCTTTACTTCACCTGAGGGGCAGAGCTGAGCTGCAAGGGGAAGCTTGGCACACAGGAAGAGACACAGAGGGGTGGCACACAGGAAGAGACACAGAGGGGTGGCACAGAGGGGAGACACTTGGAGAGACAGGTGGAGGAGAAAAGCCTGCTTACTTCTCAACTTCAGATTTGGACCAGGGGCTTGGCAGATGTAGAAGAGACATGTGGGGAGGATGACAATGGAGGATGACAAAGTTTGTTTGGACTTTTGATTTTGTTCCTTGTGTCCCAGGCTTGCCTGGTTCCCTATGCCCCACTGCTCAGCTCCCCACTGGCAGGTGCCTTTGACTTGCAGCAAGCTTTCAGCCTCGGTGGCCCTGCTGGGGGATGGCCCTGTCTGGCTCAGCATGCACCACGGAGATGGAAGCTGCTATGGGACACTATATCCTCTCTGTGCAGTCATTCATTAAAGATCTTTCACAGTAAGAGTATTCTTTGTCTTTATGTGGCAAACAGAACCCCTTTAGAGCACGTTCTTTGGGGGTTCCAGATCCCCTCAATCTGCCTGCTAACAACCACCCTCCTCTTTCCATAGTCATTCAGAGGACAGAGTTGAGGAACCAACATGGTTACAGGGCCAGCTTCTCCATCCGGTAACCAGCTCCCCCGTCCAGCTAAGTTCCTTCCTCATTACTGAACTGCAGTAAAGTGCTTACTTAGTTTTCCTCAACACAGCAACATCTTCCTGTTGCTATGGGTCTCCAGGCCATTTCCTGAGTTAGCAATGACCCCCTGGACACTGAGGACACTCCTACCCATTACCCCATGAGAACCCCTCAAGGCACTTTACCACTTCACAAGAAGAAGCAGGGAAGGCAGCTTTTTACTCAAACAAGGCAAATTATGAGAAAATAAATTCAGATTGCCTCCGTTAACAGTAAAAGGATACACACACACAGAGAAATGATGGAAAAGTCAAATGGCACAAAATGAGCAGCCCACAAAAGTTCCACCAGAGTCAGATGCAAGAAAGGACATGTGACATTAAAACAGAGCAACAAGCCACAACCCCTGGGAACTGTGGCCAGCCCTGCCCAATCACGTGACGTCAC